AATATTTGGAGGACATTAGAATGCCCAGTATGCCAACTTTAGAAAGACAGAACTCTGAGAGGAAAGTGCAGAGTTTGCCGTGTCCCTGCTGCTCTCTGGCCGATACTCACTTTATTTGATGTTGCCTTCCTTTAGCTCTTCCAGGGTTTGCCTAGTTTTTCTAGGTCTGTGGTGGTTTTAGGAAGCAGGCAACCTAACAGACATGATTTGTTATTCAAGACTGACTGTTACTCCTCTGAGAAGCCATGTCTGTGCATGTAAGTATGTTTCTTTTGAGCGATATCGTCAACAGGATTTTTCAATTTAACACATGATCATTAAAATGAAATAGCTTGATTTTTTTCAAAGAACAAATCATCTGTTAAGGTTTTTTATTTAACATTTAACTCTTGGTAGCCTAGTAGAGGAGTGAGGTTCTTTGAAAGGGTAATCCAGTTATCATTGTATTTGAGAGAAGGTTTTTTTTCAAAATTCCAAATGTATTTGAAGAAGCAAGTAGTTCTGCAAACAGCTGTTTCTGTTAAGATACTGTGATTGACAAAGGGTAATTTTCAGCTTCCTAGGGTCCTTTTCTTATTCTGATGGATGGTAAAGCTTTCTCTCACGAACATAGAAAAGTACATTTCACAAGTACATTTCACGGGGTTTTTCTACCACCAAGTGCATGGAAAGTCTTACATCTGACAGACTCTCGCTCTCCTAACTCCCAAGACTTAGGTGGGATTTGAATTTCTACAATGCTACTTTTCTCTCCCAGTCAAAGTCTTTGTACTCATTTATGAAAACCCTGAAGGTAGGAAAAAGGAAATAGATTGAATTTTGGAGGTTTTATGAATGCTCTGCAACTTTTTCCTTTGTCTGTCATCAACTTTTTGATGCAGCTATATTACAGTAATGTCATTGACCGTTTCTCCCCCTGCTGCTTTTTGGGTGCATTTTCAAAGAGAGTAGATGAGAAAGGGGAGGTGGAGGAGTCATAGGTGTGGGAGCACCTATTTCAGCAGCGAATCACTCTCCTATTGAATCACTGTGCTATTTTCTTAACTCAGTAACAGTGAAAGCGCAGGTGAGAATGATTTGTTTTTAAGACCAAAGGAAATGGAAAAAGAGAGAAATTGAGCTAGACACCCATGTTGTTGCTCTGTTCCCTTCGATGTGTCTTTAATTGTGTGTGTGTGTGTGTGTGTGTGTGTGTTGGCAGAGAGAGTCTTGATGCTGTCTTGAGGGACATATGGCCTGCTCCACCAGAGGCTGGCCACTGTCGCAGCTCCGTTTGCAGAGCTGGTTATGACATGGTCTTATACTTGGCCCTAAGCACATGGCCCTCAGTACACGGGTATTGAAGGAGGGCTTGGGACACCATTGACTTGTCTTGGAAAACATGGTGGGTCATTTTTCTCAAACCAAGAGAGTTTCTGGTCTGTTCCAGATCCATTGTCATGGGATATCTTGTGATGATAGAACATGCTTAGCTGGCTTAAGGGAAACTTCGGAATCTTTCTAATCCATAGTGATTGGTTTTCCAAAGGACAGAAACAATGGGTGATTATATATTGTCCTAAGCAATCCTTCCCCTGACTATACCCCATCCCATTCACATATAACTCACCAAAGCCTTCATCCTCTACAAGGACACAAAGCAAATGTTAGCAAATGTCAAAAACCAAGTTTGTCTTACCCTCCCCGCGCCCTCCCCCACACACCAGCTCC